TAGCTCACAGCAACTTCAAACTCTTGGGCTCAAGTGATCCTCTTGCCTCAGCCTCCCAAGTAGCTGGGACTACAGGTGCCCACCACAACGCTTGGCTATTTTTTGGAGATGGGGTCTTGCTCTGACTCAGTCTGGTCTCAAACCTGTGAGCTCAGGCAATTCATCTACCTTAGACTCCCAAGTGCTGGGATTACAGAAGTGAGCCACTGCACCCGGCCACAGTTTTGTGATGTGGAATGGACTTGGGGGGGATAGATTGTGCCCCCAAATTTATTCCTGGCTGGGCATGGTGGCTCACACTATGGTAATCCCAGCACTTTGGGGGGCTAAGGTAAGAGGATTGCATGAGCCAGGAGTTTGAGACCAGCCTGGGCAACAGAACAAGACCCCACATAAAACAGAAAAATTAGCCAGGCATTGTGGTGCCCACCCGTAGTCCTAGCTACTCAAGAGGCTGAGGCAGGAGGATCGCTTGAGCCTAGAAATTTGAGATTGCAGTGAGCTAAGATGATGCCACTGTGCAATAGGGAACTGACAGGAGTCATAGGCCCCGAACCAGGTCTTTGATAAAACAAGAAAGAGTGGAAAAACTGACCCACACCAGGTAGGGCCCAAACAGCCATGAAAGACAACTTCAGGTTACACTCATTGATTATTATAGCCTTCTTTTTTTTTATTTTTTTATTTTATTTTTTATTATATCTTTCTTATAGTATATTAGGATATTAAAAGAAACTTTCCCCAGCATCGTGACAGTTTGCAAGTGCCATGGCAACCCCCATAAGTTACTCTTTGTGGCTTAAAAAGGGGAGGAACCCTCAGTTTGGAGAACTCCCCACCCGTTTCCCAGAAATCTCATGAATAATTCTCTCTCCCATTCAACATAAAACTAAATAAGTGTATAAAATAAGACCCCAGAAACTCACAAGGTGCTACTCTTTGTTACTCTGAGAGATGTCACTGCTCTATGGGGCGCCCTCCCTCTTTTTCTTTTCTTACTTCATTAAACTTGCTTTTGCTTACTCTGTCAGCTCGCTCTTGAATTCTTTCCTGTGCGAAGGCAAAAACCCACTTGGCCTTCAGGTTGGACCTTAGTTTGGGGGTCCACTTTCCTCTATCACCTGCATTCTAGCCCTAGCAATAGAGCAAGACACTGTCTCAAAAAAAGAAAAACAAACAAAAGCCTTAATCTTATTGTTTGAGATTCTTAGGCATCAAGTTATCTGCATTCACATACAGCACACTGGCAGTGTTGCCATTTTTTTTTTTTTTTTTTAGAGACAGAGTCTCACTTTATCGCCTTCGGTAGAGTGCCATGGCGACACAGCTCACAGCAACTTCCAACTCCTGGGCTTAGGCAATTCTCTTGCCTCAGTAGCTGGGACTACAGGCATCCACCACAACACCCGGCTATTTTTTTTTTTTTGTTGTTGTTGTTGCAGTTTGGCCAGGGCTGTATTTGAACCTGCCACCCTTGGTATATGGGGCCAGTGCCCTATTCACTGAGCCACAGGCACCACCCACAATGTTACCATTTTTTAAAAGTCTGTTAATTCAATAAGTATTTCTAGAGCGCTTATTATGTGCCAAGCATGATTCTAGGTGTGTGTGTTTGCTCAGTCTGGCAACCCACCATTTGGGGCTGATACAGGGATTCCCCCATCCTCTAGGTCCAGGTGAACTCAGAAATCAGACCCCTTTTTCCAGGCCCAAACAGGCTGCTTTTTCCAGGTCACACCCTCTGGGCTCTAAGCAGATCTGGAACAAAAACTGCTTGAGAAGTTTTTGGGTGGTTCCTCCTTGAGAAGGGAAACACACCCTAATTCCTTCCCTGAGACAAAAACTGCAAAGACCGAATAACCTTGCCCCAGGGGAGGGACTGCATTCAACTTTGAAAGGATATTTTTCCACCTACAAAATCCCAGCCAAAATGTAATTCTCCAGACAACCTATACCCCTAGACAAAAGACCAGAGAGGAACTTCCAACTTGGGTCTTCCCCTTTACCAGAAACTCTGGTGCTTTTTACTCCTTCTGTATTCCCTTCTGTCTGATAAAATCCTATCTTACCACTGATCTGTGGTCCCTGGGTTAATTCTTCTAATCCTGGAGCCCAAGGACCTACTAAAGAAGAAATTCCAGTAACAGGGCTCCCACTATACCAGAATGGGGATGATGGAAATGAGTGGTTAGGAGACACAACAGCTCCAGCGACCACAAAAGTGACAGAATGTCAGCTACAGTAAATCTGATGCTGAATGTGACAGTGACATGTGAGTGTAATAGGAAAAGTGACTAATTGGGCGGTAACAAGGACAACTGTGTAGGGGCCTGTTAAATATTGGCCTAACTATGTGTCAGTGAAAGTAGCTAAGTGAGAATGACAGTAAAAACAACTGAAAGGGCAACAGCTGGGCACACTGAGTACTATGTATTGAACAGAACTATTTGAAGTTGCACAGCAGACTGCGAAAGTAAATATGATCGATCAGGTGACAGCAACAATGTGAGCGATAGTTCTGCCCAGTAGGTTGAATTTGTGATTTAAAGATGTGATGGAGTGAGTCTGAAAGTGACAGCTCTCAAAACGACTGAATATTGACGAGTGTAGGTGTAACAGCTGTAACTACGGAGTAAGCTCAGCATTGTAGGCTAAGATGACTGGATTTGGGTGCATGACTGGCAGTGACAGGAAAAGGGACCACATGTCAATGCAAGGGCGACTGTGTCCAGTGGGCCAGCGCTGATGTGACTGATACCCTTGGACCTGATTTAAATATTTGCCTATGAGGTAGCAAGGGGACGCTTCACATGGAACACTTCGTGAGTGACAAATTTATGTGAGATGGGAAACAAGGAAAAGATAAACTATAAACACTTTTACCTCCAAAACCCTTAAAGCTAAAATTGGGAAGTAGGAGAGGCAGGATCAAACTGTCTCCAGGACGTCTCAGCCCGTCACGCCCGGAGCGAGCCAAACCTCTCCACCAATGAGAATGCGTCTGGGACGCGAGGCGGGTCACCACTCCGCCTTGCACGTGAACGTGTTTTCATGGAAAAATGTAAAGAAGCCTTTTGTATTGACTTCCCTGCCATTCAGTAAACTAATTCTACAGCCGCTCCAGTAAGGGATGGTGGAACCCCGCTAGAACTTTCCTTAAGGGTCTGGCCGCTGAGGGAAAGGAGGGAGTAGCCAAGGTCAGAGGTCAGAGAAAAGGCCAGCAGCAGGCTTGCCCCAGGGTCCTGGCATTGGTGGAGAGCGGGCGCGTGACGCAGGCTCCACCCCCTCGCGAGTCCCGCCCCCAGCACGTGACTGGCGCGCGGGGCAGGTCGGGCCGCTCACTCCCGCTTATGCCCCTTCCGTGCCGGCCTCAAGATGGCCGCCTTCTGGCGTATCGGGCGCTGTTGAATGGCGAAAGCTTTATTGTTCCCTTCGGGCAGGAGTGTTCGTGTCTTCTATGGCGCTGTCAATAAAGAACTGCAGTTTGAATCGGTGCTGAACAGGTAACCATAGAAACGGGGCTGAGATTCAGCGTGGAGACCCTTTTTGCAGCAGAGGCCCGGGGGCACCCTACTTGAGGGGTGTACACAGACCCTTCGGTGTGGCGAACAACGCGGGGCTTGCCCGAGTCATAGCCGCCTCACTTTGCCCCGGGCCGTGGTCCCCCAGGGGCGGTCCGCACATCGAGCGCAAGCTCAGCTGTAGGTTCCGGAGGGAAGAGGCCGCGGGGACCGGGTGGAGGCTATAGGCCGGACCTGGTCACCGCCTGGGGCCTGCGGTCGCCCCGCAGGTCCTCTGGGCCCCAGCGGAGGCCTCTTTTCGAAGTTTCACTCCCTCCCTTCGGGTCCCTGCACCGGGTGTGGGGCCTAATCTGTCACCCTCCTTTTTTCTCCCCCTCCTGGTTTCTGTTTGTTGGGAGCTAAAAGTGGTTTTTACATTTTTAAATGATTTGGGGGGATGTATTTCATGTAATTTACGGAGATTATATGAAATCAAATTTCAGTGTCTATAAATGAAGATTTATTGGAACTGAGCCACGTTCGTCGTGGATGAATCCTCTACGACTGCTTTCCTGCCAAGAGGGTAGAGTTGAGTGGTTGCGCAGCTATTGCCTGGCTTTGCTCGCCTGCCCTACAAAGCCAAAAATAGTCTGGCCCTTTACAGAAAAAGTGTGCTGACCGATGACCTAGACACAAGTAGACTGGGGCAATCGTTGTCCTGAAACGATTGCTTTTGTCCTTCCTTACAACATGGGAAACAAGTTAAAGCTGCCCCATGCACCTTAGGGCTCTTTAGTTGACAAAACATTCTGGCTTCCATTACCCCTTCTGGTCTTAACTGCCTGTTCAAAGTAGGAGTTGTTTCTCCCACCTTGAATAGTAATAATACCATCCACCTAACCTCTACAATAAGCAAGGAGCTTTATTTATGATTATACATAGCGTTGTGCTTTATGACAACGCCTTATAAGTGTATTTCCATTTTACAAAAGAAGAACCCAGTTTTGAATGATGAAGCTATTGAAGGGCTGTAGCTTATAGGTTATAGGGGCGGCAAATTGAGCCTGTCTATGGGAGCCCCCCAGCTCATTGGCCCAGGTTAAATTTCTTTGGACTTTAAAGTCTTTTCTACCTGGGACTGTTGTTCTTCCCTGGGGTTGTATCTGGATCTTTGTATGGTTCATGGAGATTTTAATTACAATCTCAAAGTGAAATTTTTGTTAGCTTGGCTAAGTGATCAAACTTCTGCCCTCCATCCCCTTCCTAATGTAGGTACCTTTCTTCTATTGCAGTAGTTTGCAAATCTAGCTCTTCATCTTCTGTTTGTTCGTTTTTAAGAGATAGAGTCTTGAGCTCTGTTGCCCAGGCTGGAGTACAGATCATCACAGCTTACAGCAACTTCAAACTCTTGACTCAAGTAATGTTCCTACCTCAGTCTCCCAAGTAGCTCGGATTGCAGGCACACACCACCATGCCTAGCTAATTTTTCTTTTCTTTTTTTTGGAGACAGAGTCTCTCTTTGAGGCCCTCAGTGGAGTGTTATGGCATTACAGCTCACAGCAACCTCCCAACTCTTGGGCTCAAATGATCCTCTTGCTTCAGCCTCCCAAGTAGCTGTGACTACTACAAGTAGCTTAGGTATACACTACAATGCTCGGTTATGTTTTTTAGAGATGGAGTCTCACTCTTGCTCAGGCTGGTCTCTTAACTCCTGAGCTCAAGCCATTCACATGCCTCAGCCTCCCAGAGTGCTGGGATTACAGGTGTGAGCCACTGCACCCAGCAATTTTTTTTTTATTTTTTTGTAGAGACAAAATCTTGCTATGTTGCCCAGGCTGGTCATAAACTCCTGATCTCAAGTGTGAATTCCTGGAAATATAATGGTAAACAAGACCAACATGATCTCTGCCCTTTCATGAGTTTAAATTCTGTAGGGTCCCTGAATAAATTATATACAGATATACAAAGGTAATTTCAGTCACAGCTGCTAGCATCATAACAAAATTAGTGGTTAATAGTTGAGTGATTCCTTTGTACTAAATACTTTTGCTCAGTGCTTTATTTACGTGGACTATCATGTAATCCTCACTTCAGTGCTGTGACCTGAGTAGTATTAATATTCACATTTATAGATGAGGAAACGGGCTTACAGAGGAAAGATGTCCAAGGTCATATAACTAATGGATAAGGCTGCTGAGAGCTGCAGCTAAACTGATCTCACTCACCACCGTGTACTGTTCTGTTTGTTGTCTTTCCTACTGTGTAGCTTAGTAGGTCCTTGGGGTCAGGGACCATACCTTACCTGTCATTTGTACAACCCGCTATTTTTAGGTAAATATTAAATAAACAAATCCAGGTCATTCATTGAGCAAATATTTGAGGGCCTCCTATGTGCCAAGCACTATCACGTGAGGCCTTACAATTATCAGGCTGAGCAGGATGAACCTGGGGCTGTCTGTTCTAGAAGCTAAAACCTAGTGTCAAGACAATGAAGAAATAACAAATGTGGCAACTGCTGTAAAGAAAACAAGATGGTGCTGAGATGGACACTAACTTGGGAGAACCACCTTTTACCTGGGTGGTCGGGGAAAACCCTTGTTTAGAAGGGTACTGTAAGCTGCAACTTGTTGAGTGACAAGGAGCCAGTCTAACAAAGAGGGAAAGGGAAGAGAAGCTGGGAGGAAGAACTTTTCGCCAGGTTAAGAGACCCTAAGGTGGGCAAGAACTTGAGGTGTTGGAGAACTCAGAAGGGAGCAGTTGTGCAGTGTTTAACTCCTGTGCACAGTCTCTGGCCCTGAACCCGGCTTTACTACTGGAAAAGCTGCACGCCCCTAGGCAAATTACAGATTAGTTGTCTCATCTGTAAAGTGTAGGTCATGGTACCTCCTCAGAGGGTCTTTGTACAGATTAAGTAAGAGAAAATATATGAGTAGTTTTGGTGTTTTCTCTGTGTTGTTGTTGTACATATTGCTAAATTCCATTAAAGAAAACTGACGCAACGAAACCCCCAATGGAAACCTATTTAAAGTGCTAATAACACAAATCCAGAAGTATATTACAGACAAAATAGGGGTGGGAGGTGTTTTTTGATTTGGGGGTGGGGGGAAGCAGATCTGGTTTTTTCTTACTGTTTCTATTTAAAAAGGAACTTTTCCAGATGGGATTTAATTATTTTAAACCAAATGTCTATGCAAAGCATTTTTCAGCATCTTACTGTTTTAATCTTGAAACCATGGTGTTCCTCTGTTGAAGGTATGTTCCTTTTCTTAAAGCATGCTAAGAAAGTGTTAGAGTTCCAGTTGGTGGTAATTTTAAAACTTTTTTACAAATGATTTCAGGTTCAAAGTAATGTTGCAAGGTTTAAAACAGGAATGAATACTTTGAAGCAAGTGCAGCCTTTTTGAGTAGGTTAAAAAAATCGGATGATGTTTGGGCTCATGAACATGAAAAATTAGAGGCAGTAATAAATCAAGGAAACTATGTAAGAACAAAAGTGTCAAGTTTTGCTTTAAACTGTATCCAGTAACAGTATTGCTCATGTCATCAGAGAATATAATCCAACCCAGCAAATGGAGCAAGGAACTGGACAGAGAGTGGCACATTAATGCAATGTTAAACAACAAGCCCTGAATTAAATTGCTATTTTAGGTTTGGGTGGGACCTTTGCATCTAAAGTATTGCAGTTCTACTCTGTGATTTGGGTCTTTTGGGTTCCAGTAAAGAGGAGGTGGTAACGTTAGCTTTGAAGGATAATATGAAACTGCAGGAAGAGCCAGGGCATACCAATTTGTTTTTCAATCTATTTTATTTCAGTTCAAAGCATCTTTGCAGACAGGCAGCCCAGGCAAACGAGCTACGCTTTGGCAATACTCAACTGCTTTTAGAGATTGAGGAAGACTGAGTATAACCCAAGTGTGGCTTGTTTTCTTGGACTATCTGTCTGCAATGATGCCTTGAACTGAAATAAAATAGATTGAAAAACAAATTGGTATGCTCTGTTGCCTCATACTGAGTATTTACATTACCCTGCTGGAGTACTGCCTGTACCAGCGCCCTGGGGAAAGGCAGTGACCCCTCAGCCTCTTTCAACTCTTCAACAGAGTGAGCCGTTTGATTTTCACTAGGAAATTGAATTGGGATATGTGATTTTCTGGATCTCCAATAGCCTGCCTTCTAAAGCCATCATCGTGATAATGTGGAGAAAGCAAACTACTAAGCACATAGAGGCAAGAATTAACCATTAAGGGCATTTAAATTCAGAAATGAGACTGTCACTTTCTTTAAGTCATGCAGAGGGTGCGGTATTTCATTTGCAGAGAGCCTGCAGTTTTGCCAACTCTGGCAGCCCTGGGGAGAAAGGAGTAAGGAAAGAAGACTAGCTTTCTCTACATTTCCCTCATGTTGTTATTTAACCAAATATTCAACATTATGATGCTAAATATTTCTTTTCCTTACCTAAAGGAAATGCATTATAGTTCATCCACATAAGTCAAGAGGTTAATCTTGGGGTAAGTGGTTGAATTGCAAGGGACCCACGAATCCTTTGAAGTTGCCTGCGGATTTGTGTGAATGTCATTTTTCTGGGAAAAGAGCCCATTTCTTTAATTAGATCTCAGATGGGGCCCTTGGCCCCTTAAAAGATACGGAGCCAACAATGAAATGTCACCTATAACAACACCTCACTGAAGTCATGATGAGAATTTCTGCAAAACCAGTTACTTTGCACTGCTCTGCAACCGTGACCTCAGAGTTTTGAAAGTGTCTTTTCAGGCTTTGATTCCTGTCTAAAGTGGTCGAGCAGAGTTGAATGTTTGTATAATATAGATATCTGCCCAGTGAAGTGCTTCACAAATGCCTTAGAGATGGGTGGTTGTCATTACTTTACATGACACTGGTGAGATGTGGATGTATTTATTGTCTCGGCAGCCTTGTTGGCAGATACCGTATTTGTTTCAGCTGACAGGTGAAAGAAAGAGGTAGTGGCGCCCAGCCCTTTGTTTCTA